TGAGGTATTTGCTCCCCTGTATTTTGTGGCGTGCTGTGTCTGACTACAAAGACTTTCTTTATTCGGCGTGTTTTATTTGTCACCTGTTTCCAATATGGACACTGTGAAGTCCTGATCTATCTGATGGAGCCAGGGCTCGTTTTATGACACGCAAAGCTGCTGTGTCTCTTTTCCTACACACGTTGGCTGCACATTTCTGGCAGGAAATTGACAGCATTTCAGCAGCTAACTCATGGATGAGATAATATCTTGTGGGTGGAAGAGAGGACAAGATGCTCCCAGTGTTTTACAGTGACCCTAAGCAGAGACAAATTTAAATCTGAAGCTGCTGCTGCAGACGAGGCGCACACATGCACACATAATGCGCACATACACACAGGGTTTTCATTTAAATCTCGGCTTTGCTTAACTCACCAAACAAGAAATGTGGTCTGTGGCTATGTGTTGAACATGGTAAAGGTTTCAATTAAAGTAGGAGGAACAATACCCACCCAGCATCCAGCAGCTGTCTGGTTTGGCTTTCCATTGTGCACTGTCAAGGGAGGATACAGAGAGGCTGGAAGGGACTAGTGGTGTTTTAGTGGTGTTTTCAATGGCATATGGTTGCAACGTCAACCAGGAAAAATGACAGGGTAGTAATACAGTTGTACAGGATATTAGTTTAGGATCACCCTCAGTTCTATGGTTTCATAGAACTTGTAGTGGCCAAAGCACTGTATTTGTTGATCTCTACATATGCTGCTTGGTTTAGGGTTGGACACATTTGCATGTATCAGTATTGATCCTGGGCCATGTAGCCGTCTTTCCCAGTCTGTTTAAAATCCTCTTGGACCCGACTACAAGAGTCCAGGCTGAAGCCATCTTGTTCTGCAGCTCCTCTTTCCTGCATTTCTTCAGTCCATCTGTCCCACTAACAGTCTTTTAATTGAGAGTCCTCCCCGGTCTGATGCTGGCCATTGCTGACTGTCAGTGTTTATACAATTGGGCTGGGACAGGGACTGTGAGCCAAGCAAAACATCCATGAAACATCAAGCCTCCAGCTAAACAAAACCCAGCAATGAGACACACACACTTGAGCCAGATAAGGGTTGAAAATGATGCTTTCTGAACGCAGCTAGGTTAAGTTGTTGACCATAGCAGTAACACAGCAGCTGTGAGAGAGTGTTGACTGTTGTCTGGGTCTAATTGCTACAGCATTGTGGGATTTTCTTCACTTGCTAACAGCTTTCACTTTCTAGCCGCTCATTTTTCTAGTGATTTACGAAGTCTCACACACACTCGCTCACACACACCCCTCTGTCCTTTTCCTCACCGTCGTCCTCTTTAGTTGCGAGCCAAAGAGGAAACCCTGGCGAGACGCTAGCACAGTGACTAATGCTGTATATCTGGCCGGGCCTCAGATAACACAGCCTCCTCCCCCGGCCTGCTGTGACAAATATGTGCGAGTGTAGCGGTGGGATCCGGGCCCAAGCTTGTCCCTGACCCAGCCCAGGCCAGACGCAGGTTAAACCACGGCCAAATACAACCCAGATCCATGCTGGCCACAGAAGCAAAGTTTTGAGTACGTGAGAATCATGAGAAGAAGTCTTTATAATTTCGTCTTTCTCGTTTCCTCTGACAAGCCACACACGGAGACGAACTCACATCCTTGATGATGTTGTTTTTGATGGCCATCTATGACACATCCGTCTGCTGCCTCTCTTAAAAAAGTCTGTATTCAGTCTGTAATCTTTCATCTTATTGCGTAGGATCAATGTTGATGCCGTCATATCACAAACATCTCCTGTGTTACTCTTTTTTACACTTTTCTTACCTAATGTGGAACAATGCACAAATTAATCCCAAGAAATAACAGGCACAGTACGTCCCCTCCCTTCCCTTTTCTCCCGTCAGTTCCTCCTCAGTTGAGGGGGCTTGCTGCTTTAATGCTTCTTAATGCCGCTGTCTGCTTAATGGGCCAGATATGAGAGGTGCTGCTAGCCAGCGTAATAAGTCAGTGATTAGAGGGCGCCTTGTCACAGCAGCAGCCTCGCAGACAGTGGCACGCTCTAATTGCCGTATTAGACGCCCCTTAACTATCTTGTCAGCTGTCAGACCCCAGCTCGTAAACAGCAGAGGTGCATTTGATATTTGCAATTGTTTATTTCTGTCTGCTGCTCTTAGCGCTGCCGCACGGAGAGAGGTAATTAGAAAAGGGTTGTGTTGTGTGACATCACTGGGCTAAATTTGGGTTCTCTAAATTAGAGTTTTCTAAAATCTTCATGCAAGGAGAGTTGTATAAAAAGGAAAGTACTGATATGACATGGAATTCACTCAAAACTTTAAATTTAAGGGTGACAGACAAAGAAGTGGACTATGCAACATGATTAGAGCAGCAATTAAAGATTATATTTATTATAAATTAATCTGCTGATGAATTCATCATGAAAATATCAGCAGTTTTCTGGCAATTCAGTGTCATTGTCATTTTAGTGTTAATTTAAGTTAAATACAAAAAAGAACAAAAAATTAAATTGGAGATTAATATATTAACGATGTGTCCTTAACCATAAATTTAGATCTGCTGACAAGATTGTAGGCTAGTTTTTGGGTATCTAACATCATGACAACATACAGTGGGAAACATGCATGTGGATGTGAAGGACAGCATTATAAAAGAGCTTTATGAACACAGATGTTGCTTCAAAGACAGGAGGGTCTATCCTATATCTAAAAGGTCACAGTTTTGACCCCAGCCATGGCAAATGAATAGCCATGTCTGCTGCATAAATGTGGTTGAAGGGGAACGCAGAACTCACTTATTGCACGTTGGTCTGGATAAGAACGTCAGCTCAGCACATAATGTATGTACACTCTAACTGACACATGGCGTATAATCCTCACACTCTGTGAGGATTGCCATGCCTGCACCTGGAGAGCTTAAAAATTGTGTAAAGTCAAATAATCTCTGTCTCCTTTCTCATTCGGTGTCAAACAGTGAGGTGACATGGTTAGAAGTGGCGTAATTTTGTGTTTAATCTTGGATTAGCCCATGTTCACTTTGACACCTCCAGTTACTAAGCTGGTTTACGACACCTAAGGGCGAGCAAGGGGGGATTCTGATAGATTTTATGGTCCCTCAGTAGATTATGAGTGAGCTGAGTTTTATATCCTGAATTACAGGCTATTGGTCTAATCCACCAACTAGGTTATGTTATTTGCCGCTGTTAAATAGCAGAATGGGCATTTGGGTCAGCACTGGTAGGTTGGTGTTACACACCACAAATATTCTGACGTTAGTGATCGTGCATTGACCTCAGTTGTGTGACGTAAAGGCTGATCTTTTTCTATCTGGAACTACTGATTGACTGTTACGGACATTGTGAAATATAGGTTGCTGGCGCAGACATGGACTCCAACCTACGACCCTTCATGTGCATGTCTGTGTTACACTATTGTCACACCAGTGCCTTATAAGAATAACAGCAGGACAATATTAGATAGCATATTTAGTGCAGATTGTAAATTCATAAAGTTGACTCTGATATGGCTTTGATGTGTGGAAAGCAGTTTTTTTGTCACTGTCTTCCTCTTCTTGTCTCTGACAGACACCCACGTGTATGTCTACAGATAGTGTCTTCACATTTTCTCAGAACTGGATTTGCTGAGTGATGAATTTAGGATTTTCCTGTCAAAATAAACAGGCAGCTACTCATAGCAGTCACCTTGTACACCATAACCAATTTCCTGCCTCAAGCATTCCTGAAATTTTTGCTCTGCAATTTAAGTGATTACATTTTTTTTCTTTACAGCCTAAAGAATTAACACACAGGACAAAACCTTCAGTCATTCTGCATTGACTAAACAGCATATGTGCCAAATGTAAAATACATTATCTTCATCATGTGGATTTGCTATTTAAAATGCCATGTTATTAACTTGGAGTATTTTTTTTCATTCTAACATCAGCAGCCAACATATTTAGATTACATGCTAATGTTACAGAAATACAATATTTGATTTAAGAAAAGATAAACGTGTGTTTTAGTGAAACAGTTCCAAGGTTTTTTTTTTCCATAATCAAGGTTTCCTGTACCAGCTACAGCTGCACATTCCCTTTAGGCAGTTGAGGTTGCAGAAGTGTTACTATCTTTATTCCTCAATTCATCTTGATAATGTAAAAAATGTCTGATAAACAAAGGCCTGCCAATGCTTATTAAGATTCATGTTTCTCATTCCTTTTTTTTCTCTTTTTACTCCTTTTATTCTGTCCTTGTGTTTCTCCATGTCAGTGGGAAATCTACAGCTCCCAGCTGCTGCACTCATTGGGATGATAAAGCTGTATTCATTTGTGTTGATTTCTGTGTATATCATACATTTTCTCCATGCTGTACAATCTCTTTACTGTTTGAAGAATGTGAAACATCTTACAGGTTCAAATGACCTGCAAAATGTGCCTGAATTTTTTTTAACGGCCCTCTGTGAGGGCTTAAGCCTCGGCAGACGATGCATTGTGCTGTACTGAGTTGCCCTCAGTCAAGTCTGGACACTTAACCTCTCACTACTAAAAGCTTTCCGGGGTCAGACTAAGTGCAGCTCCAGTGTTGAGTAATGGAGCCTCAGTCAAAACAAGTTACATTTCTGTGTTTTCAGGAAGGGAAGTCCTTTGTCGGTTCACATGAACTCTGGAAATTACCGTATAGAGAGGCAGATTCACACATTGGAATGAAATAGCAGTTGGAAAAGTTGGTGGCTGTGAGTTATTCTTTTGTGGCAGTTACTGATGATAAGTCACATTGTTAAGTAACAGTCTGGAAAAAAGTATTATGTTCAGTATGAGATGAGGTTTAGGGACTTGCTGTTCTGCAACAGTCTATGTAATAATTAGTCCCTGTGCTTCTTACTTGTATTTATGACTTCTATTTGATAACCGCTGTTTCGCTGTCCTTGCTTTATTATCTCTCCTTTGTACTCAAGCCGTGATTGACATAGATTTTTCTGTCTGTCCTGTGTCTCTGCAGGCCATTCGCTGCACACTGGTGAACTGCACATGTGAGTGTTTCCAGCCAGGGAAGATTCACCTACGAACATGTGACCAGTGCAAACACGGCTGGGTAGCTCACGGTAAGTAAATTCATTGTTAGGGTGACGGGTGTATGTAAATAGGGTGTAAATAAATATAAACTTTGTTACTAATCCTTATAAAACTACCTCCTCTTGCTCTAGAGACATTAGAAATCCTGACCTACATACAGTATCTGTACTTTCTACTGCGTATAGAAAATGAAGACAGATGCCAGCAGCATGAATCCATCCCTCATATCTCACAATTTTAATATGCATAATTTTGTATTAGAATATATTTATATATTTTACTGCAGATATTTTCTCTATCTGTGGTTGTACAAGAATCCAAATGTTTTTACTCATTTTCCATAGTAGAAGTAACTTTGTTGTTTTTGTTTGCTTCTGTTTTTTCAGTTGCTTTCAAAGTCTTGTTTTTGCGCCTTAGATCAAAAAAAAGAAAAAAAAAGAACACAACCACAAGACAGATAGAGAAGCGAGAGACCACACGTTATGAGTTTTTCACGCGGGTATAAAAAAAAAGGAGAGGAGGCAAGAAAGTACAAAGAGAAGGAGGAGAAAAAAGAAAAAAGAAAACACCTGTTTGGCTTGCGTCCGCACAAGAGCGAGCCACGGGCCCTTCAGCAGATCGCACAGGACCCCATTGACTATTTTTTAATCTCTCCCTCTGAACTGTCAGGCACCCATCTTTCCACTCCCCCACTTTTCATTTCATGTCGGCATTGGCAGGGACTCTGACAAGTAGTTCTTCATTTTTTATTATGTTCGTGTCTGGCTGCGCTGTGTTGTCAGGCAAAGCCCTCGTCAGCAGGAAAAAGCCGTCCCAGGATCAGAGAGAGACCCAACCAGGTGTCACACAGACAGGCAGGGAAAGAGGGGAGGGAGAGAGGGAGAGAGAGGTATGAGGTAAGGGAAGAGAGAGCGATTGAGACGAGGAGGAAGAAAGAGAGAGTCGACCAGGTGTCGCCCAGACATCGAGAGAGGGGAGTGAGGTGACTGAGGTTGCGATAGGGGCAATAAAAGAAACCTACGAGTAGCAGCCATTGATCATAGTTTTTTGCCCTAAGTTATGCCATTCAGGCAGCATACAGGCTACTCTATCCTTTTGCTTAAGTCAGGGTTGTATGCAGCAAGAGAAACTGCAGATAATACTCAGCACTGACAGAAGTACTTTCACCTCCTCTGCATGTTTTTGGGTAATAAAAAAAAAAAAGTTTAATCTTTGTCCTAAAATATCCTACTAAAAACACGCTATTGAACACCAGTCAAAGATAATACAGTAAATCACAGTGCTCTTTCTAGTAGACAGATAAAAATACACCATTATCATTATTTATCATACAGCATCAGGCCTCTATCAAGGAAAGTTAACATGATTTTAAGCAGGGTTATTGCATTAATAATGCTATAATTTACATAACATTTCTGTTATTAGGTGTTATTATTATGAATGTTATTTTTATGCAAAGCATGATAACCAATTTAATATGAAATTTGCTACAGTAGACATGGATATTAAAAATATAGGAAACCAAACCTACATCCTTGACTTCATAGTACATAAACCATGTGAGCACATACCTGATCAGCCACAAAGAAAGGAGGAATTACAGATTTGAGACAAAACAGGGTGGATGTATTGCAGGTTTGAGTCGAGATGGAGACAGAAGAGGCAAATAAAAACGGAGATGCAAAGGCAGCGTAAATGTGAAAGAGCAAGAGATTAGATTAAATTGAAAGAATGGCAAATAATTACATTAATGTCATTGCTTTTATCTCATAGATACGTTATCATCAGCCAGTGCTGACCGTGCAGTAGCCTCTGAAGGAAGATATGAGATGAGAGAGAAACTTGATAGTCATTAACCGTGCCTCTGTGTGTGTGTGCTGTGCGTTTTCTTTTCTTTCTCCCTGTCATCCATACAGCTCTGGACAAGCTCAGCACCCAGCACCTGTACCACCCGACCCAGGTGGAGATTGTTCAGTCCAATGTGGTGTTTGACATCAGCAGCCTGATGCTTTACGGCACCCAGGCCGTACCGGTCAGGCTCAAGATCCTTCTCGACCGCCTCTTCTCTGTGCTGAAGCAGGAAGAGGTGCTGCACATCCTGCATGGCCTGGGCTGGACCCTCCGAGACTACGTCAGGGGCTACATACTGCAGGTCAGTGACCAACACGCATGCTACAGTGCCATACACATGTAAAGCATCAAATGGGTGTAGTGTATATGTCAAGACCAAATATTAGCCTTACTCCCTCTCTAAATGCATACCTGCACATGCTTTTATATTTGCCTCCAATTTTTGAAAGTGGTGATAATGTCCACAGTGATCACTACCATTACTTTCTCACCAAGTGTGTCTACAAATTTCACCGGCATTGCAGTTATTTTGAGAGGTATTGATCAAAAGCAGAAAAGTGACAATCTAGGCCACTTCAGTCCCATTGCCCATCCATTTTCTTCACATTTTCCCTGCTGTTACTTCGGTTGTTCAGTCTGCCCCCTTTTCCTGCCCTGTCAACACTATGCCCCTCCACTGGAAAAAGGAAAGGAATAAAAAAAAAAGTGGAGAAAAATGTCACGCCAGCAAACTATAAAACCACTGTAGTGTGTTTCCTCTCCCCATCCATCCTTCCCTCCACCACTCCCTCCCATATAATTGCAGTCAGACACATTTCTCAATCAAAGGTACGGAGGTTTTGGTGTTGAAACCCAAACCAAAGTGTTCCTGAATGAATTAGTTAAGAGCAAGTGAACATGTGCATGTGGTTAGCTCTGTGTGTGTGTGTGTATGTCTGTGTATGTATATATGTGTGTGTGGGTGTGTGTGTGTGTGTGTGTGTGTGTGTGCGCGCGTGTGTGCACATGTGCTTATCTGTATGCGTATATGGTTTGGTGTTCCAAGAGTGTAAGTGGAACAGCATGGTGAGGAGAGGGTGGTTTGTATGTGGAAACAGCTTCTGTGAGTAAAGCGCTCGCAGATCCAGTCTTAAAGAACACACACACACACACACACACACACACACACACACACACACACACACACACACACACACACACACACACACACACACACACACTGCAATAGGAACTACAATTACATAGAAGAAACATGTTTGGGATTACAATTTAAAATGAAGCATTTTATGTGTGTATTTTAGAGACAGAAAATAAAATTAATATAATATAATATAATATAATATAATCTATCGACAGTTATAATGTATTTTTCATTCAGTAAAAGTTTGTAATCTTTTAATTGAACTAAAATAACTATAATTTACCTTATTAATAAATCTGTGGAGTATATTTTGCTTAACTAGTTAATCGAATCAGTCTATTAAATGTCAAATAAATAGTTAAAAAAAAATTCTCGGTTTTGTCTGACCAAAACCTGAAAAAAATTAACTTAAAATAATATGAAACACAGACAAACAGAAGATCTGCAGAAATGACCGATTAACAATATTATTTTGACTAACTGATTAATTAAACAACTGTTTCTAAAAATCATTCTCACCATTTAATTTTCCTGAGTAGCCAAACTAAATGGTCCTTGTTTTGAGTAACCATTGGCACACTGTGGTTCCCATAGTCGTAGCCTCTGTGTTTACATCAGCTGGTTCTAATAGTCAGCTGGTGGGAGCGCCGTTGCTCAACTGCTCAGCCTCATGTCACGCTACTGGCTAAATCCTCTAGATCTCCTCAGAAGGGCTTCAAAGGGGCCGCGGCCACAGAGAAGCAGCCAGTCACTTAAGGACAGTAAGTAGTCATTGTACAGCCCTATTAGCCTGTAAGTAGCTATGAAATTCAATCATCTTCCCTGAGCCTCCGGGCAACGCTTTGTGTCAGGGGTGTGTTCCCCAACACTATGCTGCGTTAAATGAGAGATAAAATGAGGAGAACAGTATTGCAGATGATAGGTAATAAGTTGTCTTTTTGATATTGATGTCAGGGGACATTATTTGATGATAAATGATTACTTAACAGTGATCCTAGCAGTCAGGCCTTCAACCGCTTCCTTGTACTGATTTAGGATTTGAATAAAAGTGTTTAGGCCACAGGAGTAATCATGTTAATTTCTATTTTAATGAGATATGCTCTAAATCACTATAATTATCCAGAAAATACATCCACTATTTCTGAATTATGTTCTAATGAAGCCCCCATTTTCTTTGAGAGTACTGGTTAGCACACTCTGTATGTACTTAAGACATATGGTTCTCTTTTCGTTTTTCTCTCCTGTATTCATCTAAGTTATTACTTTTTCTCTGCTAGTATGTCACAATGTGTCACAATAGTATGGAATAGTTTAGATTTAGAAACAAAAAAATGTATGTATGTATGAGTGTATTTATGTGTGTATGTATGTATGTATGTGTGTGTGTGTGTGTGTGTGTGTGTGTGTGTGTGTGTGGTGCATTATGTTTGCTGGGTGTCAGTGTGTATGGGTGTCAGTGATGCGCCAGAGAACTCAAGACACTGAGCTGACAGAGTATACCTGCAGTTCCTCTGATGCTTGACCACTGAATGTATGCAGTGGAGGAAGAAAGAAAATACACACATATTCAACCGAAAACATAGAGAAAAAGCCTGAAAACGCAGATTTGAGTAGATTGGAATCTGAGTAATCATGTTAGAAACACTAGGCTTTCATTGGTTGAAAACATGTATTACAAACTCTTCATGACACCGTTCTATTCTTAGTAGTATCAGTTAGCGAAGTGAATGCCAGTGTTTGTGGCACCCACTGGCCAGCCTCTCATCTGAGGTAAAGGTCACCTTTACCTCACTCCCCAGCCAACCTCTTATTGTCATTTCATATCAACTTATCTGCTTTGATTCTCTCCCGCTGAGGATATTTTTATCTTTATCTTGTGTAACACTCGCCTGCTCCTTTTCAGTATACACAGCGTGAGTGAGCCAGTGCTTACATACCTTACATATACACTGACCTACAAGAATAGCTCACTCATGTTTGGTTCATTCATATCAGAAGCATCAGTGTTGTCTAATCACCACCTGCTGACATTTCCACATAAGCACCAATGCATTTAGAGTAAATACCGTCATTATCACCACTGTAACCCAGTTTAGATTATCCCGCAGAATACACTCTCCACAGCAGAGTAATACTATGAATATGTTGCCACAGCTTTTTAGTTCTAATTTACAGAAGTTAAATTACAAACTTAATTTCTGTCAACACCTGTGATAAACTTTGCCCTCCTTCGTCCTCTCTGCCATTCACTGCATAACAAAATGAAACCATTGAAGAGGTGTGACTAAATATGCGTACACTTTGCAATTTACCTTTGTAATAGGCTCCTTAAACTGAAGAAATTAATCGATATTATTAAAAGCTCAATGGCTTATCTAGTGGTTGGAATTCTGATTTGTAAAGGAGAGGAATTATACATGACATCAATAACCATTAAAATGAATGATTATCTTTCTCTTCCTCTCTTGTTTCATCATTCTATAAACCGTTTGTAGCCTGACCTTCAGTCCACAAACCGTTCTCTTATAGCATTAACGCACTTGTACACCAGCAAATCCACACAGTCAGTTGCTACAGTATTTCCATATACAAATGTATGCGCGCAGGGTTATGTGTTAACGCGACCAAGCAACAATAACATAATGAGTTTAGATGTAGTTCATTTCCCAGTAACAAACCAGTTCTTGCTGCCTGACAAGCGAGAAGAGAATAACTCCCTCTCATCACATTTTCAAGAGTTTAAAAGTTATTTAATGACCTTTGCAATGTCCCTTAACACTAGCAGCATGAAAAAATTGATTATTCTGAAAACTCACAGAGCCAACTTTACTTTGTAAAAAAGAAAAAAAAAAATGTTTGTTGGTTGGATGACATTTGTTAGCAACGTGGGACCCTCTGGTTCTTTTACTCAAATTATTGCAGCTCTCCATTACTTTTGCAATTTGTTTAGTGTAAAACTCTTATCAATGTTTGACTTAAGTCTTCCAAATTTTTTTAGACCTTGACATTTTTTTTTTACACATACTCTATATTAAACTAAATTATGTTCATTATATTAAATATGCACATAGAGTACCTAGAAACAAAAACAAAAACTAATAGCAGGCAGTAGCCATACTTATCTTGCAGTTATCTAGGTTTTAAACCAGTTGTGTGAGTCCAAGAGGTCACTTTCAAGAGATAGTGACAACTGAAAGTTATGTGTGTACATTTTTTTCAACCCTTTTCAACCCTGCTTCATTTCTCTGGTATTTCTCCCCTATCCCTCTGACTTCAAGTTCAATCCAAGGCATTATGTGAACAACACAGACACATTTATTCGTCGCCAGAATTCCTTGCCCTTCACTTTGGCAGGACTTTTACCTTCTTCACTCTTTAGCCCTTCATCCTTTTCTCCCTCCCTTCTCCTACTCATCCCTCTCTCCTCTCCCATGGTTGTTTCCAGACAGACCCACAGCCAATGTGCACCAGATGCCCCCCAACTCCACCCCATCCTGCAGCCTGTCACTGCTCACTCCTCTGTTCGATACAGACAGATGGAATTGCTATCAGTACTCTCTCCCTGTCTCAGCCTCTGTCTCCCACACTCCACGCTGTCTATTTTGTCTTCCTCTTTCTTATCCCTTACCAAGTGAAAAATAAGTAGACAGAGAGAGAGAATGAGTGGAAAGAGAAAGAGAGAGAGAGAGAGAGAGACGCAGCCTTTGCAGCCAACATATGGGCCGAAGCCCAGGGTTTTCCTGAGCGACATTCTCAGTAATGTTCTGTCCTTGTAGAACATTGGGCTGCCTCCACTTTTATGAGATGTGGTTTTCCTGACTCCACACGGCTTCCAGGAGACCCAGATGGAACCGCTAACAACCCCCACCACCGCCACGCAACCACACACACACATACTGTACACACACAAACAGTCTTAACCCTAATTGCATACACACTCGGAGGAATGCTTATTCAAACTATCAGGCGCACACACAGCCACAAAATCACACTCATCTACCCCAGTGACCCTTCAACATAGGCTTTGTTTCAGTGGCAGATGCCTGGGCATGAGGATGTGTTTAAAGTTATTAATGCAGTAAAACAATCTCCTTAAATTTCTCGTTATTTATCTACTTATTTGGTTAATACATTGTTTCTCTAATGAGCATGAACACAGT